CAGAATAACCATGCAAAGTGGATAATAAAATATAGTGGTAATTGCAAATGTTATAATTATTGAGTACATTCAATGTATTTTATATGCAGGAAATAAGATGGTGAATTTTTTGGTTATTCTGTTTGAAAAAATTTTGTTTTGAATACAATTTTGTATTTAAAACTGTGAAAGAAAACGCAGATTGAATTGAAAACTTTAGATTTTCTTTAAAATCGCTAATTTAACAAAAATGACTCAATTGGTTCCATGTTTACAAAGCGTTAAAAATATTAATAAAATTCAACATTTTTCATAAATATTAATATTCAACGTAAATAATGCACCATATTCATACCATACCAGTGAGTGAACAGGGTGAATCAAAACTAGGGTGGTCATACTGCATCCGTTAAAATAAATAACAATTTTAAATTAAAAATGGCCTCTTTTATGATTTTTATGGAAGTTCATAAGTTCGATTGAAAATAAATTAGCTTTGTGAATATGTATCATACTGTATGTAAAATTATACCTTCTGAAATGTTCCACTCTCCTATTAGGAATTGTCTTAATTTAGAAATAAAATTATATATTAAGAATGTGTCATGTAGCATGGTTTTTATTTAATGGAACGTATTTGCATGACCAAAGTTCATGACGTAAAGTTGCAGACGGTTCAAAAGAAAACAAATGGTTATCATTACTGTTCAATTGCCTAGTTAACAGTATTTAAAACTTTTACTTTTTACTTTATTTCATATGCAAAAATGGATTAGAGTAAGTGTAAAACAATATTCATTAATCGTTTACATTAAAATTTAAATAAATACAGTGCCAATTACTTAATTAATTATTACCAGCAGTTAGTATTTCTATTGTTATTATTTCATGTTCAATGTAATTTCCGATAGTAGGTATTTATATTCGTATTTTTCCGTAATAGCGCTAACGTTTAATGGTCATGCGTCTTGATGGAAAATCTCATCAGTTTCCTAGTAGATCGCAAGGAGTATGTCGTTCAGGCAATTATTAGACCATTTCATTATTTAAAATTAACTATTGTGCTGTATAGTGTCTACAGTTTAATCTAAACAACTAAAATTAGATGCTGTGAGCGGTGCGTGATTAGGTTTTCTTGCAATTTTATTATTCGGTGAGTTTTTAATTTGCTACTTCAAATTTTATGAATAAAATATAGGTAGTACCGGAAAATTATGTAGGTCTCGTTAGGACCCAGGTCTGAAATAAACTGCATCCTAAACGAAAAGAATATCTATCCACATGGAGATTGCAATGTCCTGAAGAAGGTGATCTAAACTTGGAAGGTGGATATTTAGTGGATTTGGGAATTTAGCGTTTTGAAAGAAAGGTTGAATTCATATTATAAGGAATAGTATTCCTCTCTCTCTAAGTGTAGATAGATAGGTACTTTACCATGTAATTTTTCTTGTTTTTGCAAAAAGCAATGGGTTTTTATTGTTTGTAACGGAACCATTGGGCCATGGACCAGTTGAGTTCAATAGGGGGTCGCTTTATTTGTCTTATTATCACGCACATGGTTCTATACCTTTCTTTGTATGAATTCAAACCGTTATTCCAAAGAAATCCTTCGCATATTTGCAAATTCCACCAAATTTTCATCTTTCAATTTTAGATCGCCTTCTTCTACACATCACCATCTCCATATGGGATTACTGTATACTATATATGTACTAATACTTAAGTATTTTTCACTTGTTATGACTTGTGACCATTGTATCCCAATTTATTAATCAAAGGCAATAAAATACTTAAGTATTAGCATTAAGGTTTAACTCCAGAACAATAAATTGTTGTTAACTGTTTTTAATAAATACAAAATTTACTGTATACATCTAAATTCTATTACATGGTATATGATGAAGAATTTTTGGTATACATACTTACATTTAGGTAGTTATACTATATATGTATATGTGAATCATTTTTAACGTTTAATAAGGTCTGATATCAAATTAATGTGAAATTCCCACTATAAACTACCTGTACAACAGCAATAAATTTTTCCCTAATTAATTTGAAGTAGTTTATATTGGGAAAAAACTAAATGAAATTTCACATTAATTTAGGTAGTTGGTCCGAACAGTGATTGCATACGCTCCTCAACACTCCTTCCTGTCTCGAGTAAATATTTGCATTGGTTTTTTAAAAGTATTTAAATACAAAATGCAAATACTTTTTGATTTGTTATTTCAAATGTGAAATACTACAAAATAGATTTCCCTTTCGTATTTTAAATGCTAAATGCAAAATACGTATTTTCAAAATACTTTTTTCTAATAAATTTGCTCATTTTTTTAAATATTGGAGTTTTTCTCGACTAATGGTGGTGTTTGCACTATATTACCAGCTGCGAAGATTAAGTATGATTCATATTTTTCTGTTTGAAGTGATTGAGATATAGTTTTTCTACGTTATGGTTTCTTAAGTTCAGTAACAAATACTTCTTCTATATGCTTTCTTATTTGCCTTTGTCATCCGTTTTAATTTGAAAAAATACACTGATGTCAAAATAGTTTGTTTACCGTGAAAGATCAGAGCCAAAATAGGGTTGCAAATAGGTTGCAAATAATTTTATTGATGTAAAATCAACATCAATCATTTTATATCAAAATACTTACAATCCCATTTTGTTTCTGATGTTTTACATATTGTATCTAATAAGTGAAGTTTTTCGAATTTTGGATTATACGCATTTATTAGCACACCACAATATCTTCTAGTTTTCAATTTTAGATTATTATCCATTTTCAAGGAGTTTAGAATTTTTTGTGCTCTCTTCAGTTAAAGAATAAGAAGACATTCAAGGAAAGCAAAAAAAGTCAATTTAGTTCAGGAAGTACCTTCGATTCCGTTCTTACAATTTTTTGCGCACTCTTATTCAAAATAGTTCGCTTTAAACAAATAAGTATTTTGTTAAGGCTAAAATTAGTACAAAAAACAAATTGCAAAAGTTATTTTTTTTTAATTTTTGTTAGACCATTTTGAAAAAAAGTCCTGTTGTTGCTTTGCTTAATACATTTTCTGTAGTTAAATAGAAGCGCCAGGAGATAAAAAAACCAAGGGAATGCAAAAACATAACCCCTTTAATCGCTTTTGGAATATTTTAAGAATCTATATCTTGAAGAGTATTTAAGCACTTTGGCAACAATAAAATTTTAGGTTATTGATATTGTGTTTCAGGGCTGAAAATTATCATTTTTTTATTTTTTTTATTTTGAAAAAAATTATTATTAAAGAGTCTTAGTTCATCATTTAAAACGTGTTATAAGTAGGACCTAAAATAATGACGAGGTACGACTGTGTAAATGTTTATTTTTACTAAATTGGGGAAAACTTCATTTTTTTGCGGACGTTCTTCGACATCTAGAAATTTTATTTAAATATTTTAAAAAATGATTTTTGTGAACAGTAGCTACCTTTTCTGTTAGAGAAAGCAGACTATAAATCGGTCCTGAAATAAGCAAGGTACGGTTCTTTAGTGTGTCTTTTGTTTCTCTAAATTGGAAAAAAATCATCATAAGGTCCTCATTCCTAAGACTAGTTGAACACGCACCTCCACTCTTTCCTATCCTGAATTATTGTTGACATTTGAACAGAAAGATATCCTATTTCGTCAGTCCAAATATATTTTCAGCATAGTTACTTATTGGTACATTTATTTTTCTAAAGATAATCAAAAAATTAATTTATATTACCTAATTACTAGGTTTTATTTGCGGCTTCGCTACCATTGATGTCCTAAATACGTGTCAAAGATCATCGACGACCACATAAAACTAGTTTTTCTATTCCTCGGGAACAGTATTTGTGTTTTTCTAGTCAAAATGTTTTTAATTCTTTTAACAAATTAAATAATGGTTATTCGTGAATGTAATTATTAGTTGTGGTTGCAGATGGATTCGGTTAACCTGCTGGAGTCGTCGTGTGGGACACCTACCCTGAGAGAAAAGCTTGGACTGCACAGTAAGTCTTTTTATTATTCTCATTTTTTTTTTATTTTGGACCGTACTTCGTTAACATTTTTTAGCTTTAAAGTATAATTTGAATTCTGTTTCATTTAATTCTTTCCGCAATCGATAGGACCGGACAGGATCGCGTGGAAAATGATTTAGAAATAAAAATAGAAAATACCAAATTAGAAATAGTTAATAAAACAAAATATTTAGGTATAATAGTTGATGATAAGTTTTAATGAACATGTGCAATACGTTGGTAACAAAATTGCCAAAGAACTAGGGGTTTTACGTCGAGGAAACAAATACTTATCACATTGGGCAATGCGCACAGTGTACAATGTTGCCGCATGAGTAGATTGTTAAGGCAAGCTTAGGTATTCTCAACGCGTTTAGATTTATTTTGAACCTAGCAGAAGTGTTCTTCGTATTGATGGTTAAATGTAGGTACATTTACAAACAAAAATTAATATAATTNTCCGAATACTTGCTCTCTTTAACAGTCGTATGCTTGAACGACCGACTGACAGAACAAGACAATTTCCTCGTTTTAATACAAATTGCTATTAAAAATTTGTTTTCCACATTAATGCGTTATCTTTGTATAAATTAAACTTTCTTAAATTTCTACAAAGAGAATGTATTCATTTGTCTATTCTGTGATATGCATGGGCTGATTTCGGAAATGAAAGAAAAAAAAACTGAAAGCTCTTTCATTTCATGAAAGCTATACAATTATTGACTTGGTTGTAGTCTATTTGTAATTCTTTTTAAATATAATAAAGCTCCTATTTCTGTTAAGAATAATTTAGCTTTCTTTCGAGCGTAATATTCTATCTTTTGTTCTCCGAATACTTGCTCTCTTTAACAGTCGTATGCTTGAACGACCGACTGACAGAACAAGACAATTTCCTCGTTTTAATACAAATTGCTATTAAAAATTTGTTTTCCACATTAATGCGTTATCTTTGTATAAATTAAACTTTCTTAAATTTCTACAAAGAGAATGTATTCATTTGTCTATTCTGTGATATGCATGGGCTGATTTCGGAAATGAAAGAAAAAAAAACTGAAAGCTCTTTCATTTCATGAAAGCTATACAATTATTGACTTGGTTGTAGTCTATTTGTAATTCTTTTTAAATATAATAAAGCTCCTATTTCTGTTAAGAATAATTTAGCTTTCTTTCGAGCGTAATTTTCTGTCTTTTGTTCTCCGAATACTTGCTCTCTTTAGCAGTCGTATGCTTGAACGACCGACTGACAGAACAAGACAATTTCCTCGTTTTAATACAAATTGCTATTGACTAATTTCGGAAATTAACGAACCAAAGATGAAAGCTTTTTCATTGTTTTACAGCTATACAATTATAAATGTGGTTTAGCCTATTTTGAATATATTTAATTATAATAAGGCTTTTATAGTCGCTATGAATAGTATAACTCTTTTCAAGCATAATTTTTATCTTTTGTTCTCCGAGTATTTGCTGTGTTTTAATAGTAATTAATTAATAATTGAAACATTGTCTTGAAGATTAATGCATTTGAGTAAGAAATAAACCTTTTTAACCTTGTATTACTAGAAGAAAGTGCTAGTTTCACTATTTAATAAACCTAGAACGAGACACCATGATTTTAATATAAATAGCAATGGAATCTTTGAATAAATTAAACTTTTTTGAACTTGTATTACAGGGAGAATATGTTTGCTTCTCCATTCTGTAATATGTGGGATCTAATTTCGTAAAATAACAACTCAGACAACGCAGAAAGCCCTTTCCCAGCTTTTAAGCTATACGACCACCGAGGTGTTTGTGGTCTACTTTTAAATTTTTTTTTTTAATATCAAAGTCACCACCTGTCGGTTAGATTAGTGGACCTTATTTATATCGTAATTGTAAATCTTTTATTCCCAGAATACTTGCTCTCTTTAATATTCCCAATCAGTAATTAAAACATTGTCTCGAATATTAATGCACTGTTTTATCAACTAACCCTTTTCGATCTTGTACTACATTGACAATGTGTTAATTTCTGTATTTAATAGTACGTAGGGGCTGATTTCGGTAATTAAAGAATCAAAGCTGAAAGCATCTCCATTGTTTCCGTTATCGGGGTGGTTGCGGTTTACTTTTAATATTTTTACTTGCTCTCTTACTAGTCCCAAACAGTAATTAAAAATTTGTCTTGAATATGAATGCATTTTTGTACAAAATAATCCTTTCTCACCATATGGTACAAGGAGAATGTAATAATTTCTGTATTTAATATTACGTAAGGGCTGATTTCGGTAACTAACGGATCAAAGTTGGAAGCATTTCCAATGTTTGAAAGCCCTGCGATTATCGGGGTGGTTGTGGTCTACTTTTAATATTTTTTTTATAACAAAAAAGGCTCCCTTTGCTTTAAGACTAGTCGACCTTATTTTGAGCGTCATTATCTGTCTCTCATTATCCGAATACTTGCTCTCTTTAACAATGGTCTGATTGAACGGTCGACTGAGAGAAGATGACATTTTTCCCTAGTTTTAATATAAATAGCAATTATAAATTTGTTTTAAATATTAATTCCTGATCTTTATATAAATGAAACCTTTTTGAACTTGTATTACAAGGAGAATGTGTTTGCTTCTACATTCCATACAAGGTGGGGTAATTTCTGAAAATAATGCCTCAAACAATTCTGAAAGCCCTTCCCTTGATTTTAAGCTAAACCATCATCGAGGTGATTCCAGTCTACTTTTAAATTTTTTTCAATAAGAAAGGCCCCTTTATTCCTTACGATTTGTGGACCTTATTTAGATCGTAATTATGTATCACTTAATATCCGAATACTTGTCCTCTTTAATAGTCCTAAACTGTGATTAAAAAATTGTCTTGAATATTAATGCATTTTTGTACGTAACAACCTAGGAGATAGTTTGTGAGATGGTCTGAGGGTTATTTACCGGTTGTGAAACTCTGCAATACTAATTTATTATTATCCAGGGGAAGTGGTTCTGTCCAAATAATTTTTGGTATTCCAACGCCACGAGCCATTTAGGATTATACTACGTCTATGAAATAGTTTGTCAGGGGGTCTGACAGTTTTTTACGGGGTGCGAAACCCTCTAATATTATTTTACTATTATGCAGACGAAGTTGTTCTTGTTTGACAGTAATTTTTGTTATTCTAACGTCACGAACCATTTAAGATTATACTATGTCTATGAAGTAGTTTATCATCAGGGGGTGTGAGGGTTATTTTNAAACCCTCTAATATTATTTTACTATTATGCAGACGAAGTTGTTCTTGTTTGACAGTAATTTTTGTTATTCTAACGTCACGAACCATTTAAGATTATACTATGTCTATGAAGTAGTTTATCATCAGGGGGTGTGAGGGTTATTTTCCTGGTGCGAAAACTTCCAATACTAAAATAACATTTTTTCATGTTGTTCAGTTTAATGAATCTTTTTTCAAGACTTTTCAAACGTTCAAAATAGCCTCACCATTCACCTGCAGGTAATTTTTGTCGAGACCCTTCACTAACCATTTTTATGATGGTCCGGCAAGTTCGAATTCTCAGTAATTCCTAGAATGATTTGTTGCTCTATTTTGTGTCTTTAAGGGCTATTTTTGCTCGTACATTTCGTATTAGTCTTTTTTTGTTTACCGAAAACCTAAAATGCTTTCCTCAAAAAGTAGTCGTTCATTGTCACTCGCACAAAACAGCATCTCAACAAACATACTCTCCGCGGGATATAACATATTTTGTACGCGTATTTTTTCAACAATTAATTTTATTATATTGACATACTGTATCTTTAGAATCATTTAATAAAGTTCAGTGTTATTGTTAGTGAAGAAATAGTGCGTTATTTTTTATCCGTAACAATTTTCAACCTATAAACTATAAACTACCTATAATCACTTAATTGGAATTATAGGCAATTGATAACAACTCAATTCCACACCGAGTTACGTTCATCAATTAACACATGTTGTATTACAAGAAAAATTTGTTAATTTCTGCATTTATTAGTTTGTAGGGGCTAAATTCGGAAATTAACGAATCAACGTTGAAAACATCGTCATTGTTTCAGTGTTTTGGGGTGGTTGTCGTTTACTTTTAATATTTTTTAAATGAAAAAGGGGTTCTTTTGTTGTTAAGATTAGTCTACTTATTTCGAGCGTCATTGTCTGTCTCTTAATTTCCGAATACTTGCTCTCTTTAACAATGGTATACTTGAACGGTCGACCGAGAGAACAAGACATTTCCCTAGTTTCAATAAATACCAATTATAAATTTGTTTTAAATAGTAATGCATGATCTTTATATAAATTATACTTTTTTGAAGTTATATCACAAGGAGAATGTGTTTGCTTCTTCATCCTGTAAAATGTAGTACTTAATTTAGGAAAATAACGACTCAAATAAAGCTGAAAGCCCTTTCATTGCCTGTAACCTATACGATCATCAAGGTAATTGTTTTGAAGATTAATGCCTGACGTTTTTGTAAATTAAACTTTGTTGATCTTGTATTATATGGAGAATTTCTCTGCTTCTCCATTTTGTAACATGTGAGATCTAATTTCGGAAAATAACTACTCAAACAAATCTGAAAGCCCATTCATAGCACTTCAGTTATACGACCACCGAGGTGATCGTGGTCTACCTCTTTTAATTTTTTTTTAACAACAAAGGCACCACTGGTTGGTGAAATTAGTGAACCTTATTTATATCGTAATTGTAAATTTTTTATTCCCAGAATACTTGCTCTCTTTAATATTCCCAATCAGTAATTAAAACATTGTCTCGAATATTAATGCACTGTTTTATCAATTAACCCTTTTTCACCTTGTACTACAATGAGAATGTGTTAATTTCTGTATTTAATAGTACGTAGGGGCTGACTTCGGTAATTAATGAATCAAAGCTGAAAGCATCTCCATTGTTTCCGTTATCGGGTTGGTTGCGGTTTACTTTTAATATTTTTACTTGCTCTCTTACTAGTCCCAAACAGTAATTAAAAATTTGTCTTGAATATGAATGCATTTTTGTACAAAATAATCCTTTCTCACCATATGGTACAAGGAGAATGTAATAATTTCTGTATTTAATATTACGTAAGGGCTGATTTCGGTAACTAACGGATCAAAGTTGGAAGCATTTCCAATGTTTGAAAGCCCTGCGATTATCGGAGTGGCTGTGGTCTACTTTTAATATTTTTTTTATAACAAAAAAGGCTCCCTTTGCTTTAAGACTAGTCGACCTTATTTTGAGCGTCATTGTCTGTCTCTTATTATCCGAATACTTGCTCTCTTTAACAATGGCATGCTTGAATTATCGAACGCTGGATAGAATAAATAGATAAAATTAATTACCTATAACACATTAAATAAAAGCACTTGATGTAAGATTTACTTGTTAATTAGCCTAACTATTTTACTTTCCAAATTTTGTTTAAAAACTTCTGATGGCGAGTCATTTTTCAAATTCTATGGGAGTGTATTTTAGGTAGCTACATCATTGAACGAATTTTAGCATTAATAATTTCTGCACGTTTTTGTATTTAGCTGTTATGGGGTTTAACTAATTCTAGTACAATTATCCTTTAGTTGTATTTTATGAAATCTTAATATATTTTTTGTAGTAATGCCAGAGAATTATCTTGCACCTCAAATACCGGACTTGTGATAAATGAACATATAAAATTGACCTAAATTTTTTTTTAAAGACTTACATGTTCATCAGTACAAAAGGGGTAATATTAGACAACTTTACAAAAGCTAGGTCATGGAACAAAACATTGTTTTCCCAGTAATTCCATAGCTAAAATTTTTCTTTAATTAACATAATTTATTTCTTAGACGACATAATTTACTTCTTAGTGTTTGCTATTTCAAATGTTTGTATTGAAAATTAGATTTTTCTTGTTATATACTGTCATAATTTGTTTTTTGATTTGATTTAACTAAATTTAACTTATTTCTTATTATCAGGTTGACTTTAATNTATTAACCTTATTTTTTATTGTCAGTTTGGCTTTAATTTTTAAATTTTCAATTACTGCTTTACAGCATAAATGAACTAAAATTAACGTAATTTACTTCTTAGTGTTTGCTATTTTAAATTTTTATATTGAAAATTAGATTTTTCTTGTTATTTACTGTCATAATTTGTTTTTTTATTTGATTTAAAACTTATTTCTTATTGTCAGGTTGATTTTAATTTTCAAATTTATAATTATTGTAACTTTGATCACTAAAATAATTGTGTTTAACAAACATATGTCTGAAATTATTGGAGCATATAAGTGTAAAGAAGAATATAAAAAAAATTGTCAACAAAATGTTTTTTAGAAATTAAACTTTGTGAGCCATTTCGATACTGTTATCTACCCTGGTGTTTTCTGATTTTGTCGAAACTTCGTTGTGGAAAACCAATAATTATTCATAAGTTCGTGAAAGCATGGAAATCCTTTTGCATTTTCTTCATTTAAAATAACTTTTCGGGCTCCCTTAGCTTTAAGACTAGTCGATCTTATTTTGAGCGTCATTGTCTGTCTCTTATTATCCGAATACTTGCTCTCTTTAACAATGGCATGCTTGAATTATCGAACGCTGGATAGAATAAATAGATAAAATTAATTACCTATGACACATTAAATAAAAGCACTTGATGTAAGATTTACTTGTTAATTAGCCTAACTATTTTACTTTCCAAATTTTGTTTAAAAACTTCTGATGGCGAGTCATTTTTCAAATTCTATGGGAGTGTATTTTAGGTAGCTACATCATTGAACGAATTTTAGCATTAATAATTTCTGCACGTTTTTGTATTTAGCTGTTATGGGGTTTAACTAATTCTAGTACAATTATCCTTTAGTTGTATTTTATGAAATCTTAATATATTTTTTGTAGTAATGCCAGAGAATTATCTTGCACCTCAAATACCGGACTTGTGATAAATGAACATATAAAATTGACCTAAATTTTTTTTTAAAGACTTACATGTTCATCAGTACAAAAGGGGTAATATTAGACAACTTTACAAAAGCTAGGTCATGGAACAAAACATTGTTTTCCCAGTAATGCCAGAGAATTATCTTGCACCTCAAATAATGCACTTGTGATAAGTGAACATATAAAATTGACCAAAATTTTTTTTTTAAAGATTTACATCTTCATCAGTACAAAGGGGGTAATATTAGACAAATTTACAAAAGCTAGGTCATGGATCAAAACATTGTTTTCCCAGTAATTCCATAGCTACAAATTTTTCTTTAATTAACATAATTTATTTCTTAGACGACATAATTTACTTCTTAATGCCAGAGAATTATCTTGCACCTCAAATAATGGACTTGTGATAAATGAACATATAAAATTGACCTAAATTTTTTTTTAAAGACTTACATGTTCATCAGTACAAAAGGGGTAATATTAGACAACTTTACAAAAGCTAGGTCATGGAACAAAACATTGTTTTCCCAGTAATTCCATAGCTAAAATTTTTCTTTAATTAACATAATTTATTTCTTAGACGACATAATTTACTTCTTAGTGTTTGCTATTTCAAATGTTTGTATTGAAAATTAGATTTTTCTTGTTATATACTGTCATAATTTGTTTTTTGATTTGATTTAACTAAATTTAACTTATTTCTTATTATCAGGTTGACTTTAATTTTTAAATTTCTAATTACTTCATAAATAAACTTAAATTAACGTAATTCATTTCTTAGACAACGTAATTTACTTCTTAGTGTTTGCTATTTTAAATTTTCATATTGAAAATTAGATTTTTCTTGTTATTTANTATTATTTATTCATTGGAAAATTGTTAGATACCCTGTATACAGTATAAAAATTAAGCGTTTGAAAACCCTATTTATTTCATTATTTAATTCGATAGCAGTGTTAAAATTTTTTATAGGTCTTTTTTATGTGTAACAAGTTTATTAATACATAATATGCTTTGTTCTTTAACCTTCTAAAGACATTGCTATCGCATCGAATAACTCACATCTGTTTCAGTATAGTAAAAGCGTTGCTGCGAATTGTGTTAAGCTAAAATAATTTGTATTATATATTTTACAATTTGTTTAAACAATTGAAAATAATTCTATACTCTGATGGTAAGTTATTACATTATTTTAATGATCTAGAAAAATAATTAATTAATTATGATACAATAAATGAAACCACTTGATGTAAGATTCACTTGTTATTTAGGCTAACTATTTTACTTTTCAAATTTTGTTTAAAAACTTTTGATGGCGAGTCATTTTTCAAATTCCATAGGAGTATATTTTAGGTAGCTACATCATTGAACGAATTTTACCATTAATAATTTCTGCACATTTTTGGATATAGCTGTTCTGGGGTTTAACTAATTCTAGAACATTTATCCTTTAGTTGGATTTTATGAAATCCTTAAATATTTTTGTAGTAATGCCAGAGAATTATGTTGCACGTCAAATACCGGACTTGTGATAAGTAAACATATAAAATTGACCTAATTTTTCTTTAAAGATTCTTACATCTTCATCAGTACAAAGGGGGTAATATTGGACATCTTTACAGTAGCTAGGTCATGGATCAAAACTTTGCTTTCCCATTAATTTCATATGGCATCCAGGTATTCAAATGCATGCCTCGAATTTAATAGACGTTCTACATTAGGAGCCATCAGAATGAAGGTAAGTTGGAGCATAAATAATTTTATAAATAAGTAGAACTAGACATATAATTTTTAATTGAGGAAAATTAAGCAAACTTAAGGTGTGAAAACTTCTTTCCTTGCATAATGACGCTAAAGTTTTGCTCTACAATGATAAGGTTTCATCTGGATAAATTATAAAGGTAACAACCAAAGTTGTAAAAATTGTTAAAGATAGCTATGTTATTATAATTCATTTTTAGCATATAGTAAAATTATATGAGTAAAAAAGCACAATCGTTATAAATAACACTCACAATTACAAATATAGATAGACAGATACCTTTATTAAAAACAATATATTTTATATATACAAGGTGCATTTACATTTGCATTTACCTATTTTCTCTTTTCCACATTCTCGTTTTTCTGCTATTTTCCTCCGTATTCATAATATTTCTCTCATCCTATTTAGATCATCCTTTCCTTCCATTTCAATTTCCCGCTTTTTTGCACCATTTCTATTTTCCATTTTATAATCTACCCTGAAGCTAAACATTGGCATAATTACGTAAGACAATAAAAACTAAAAATAAATTTTCATCTCTTTAGTTTATTTTCTTCAGTAATATATTTTATGATTTCAAATTAGATATTTTTAGAATTTTTAATTTGGAGTTTTTAAAATGTAAAAAAAAAATATTGAAACAGCCCTTCTCTCAATACCTAAAGGAAACTTGAATTTTCAGTGGACATTTTTTAAGCTTTGTACAACTTTTGAAAATTGAAACCAAAATTTGATGTTTCTTTTACGATCTAATCGGAGATAAAATAGGAAAGATAACTTATTTCAATGTTATTCCAAAATCATCCAAAATTTCAAACCTTCCCTAAGCTGTTGCATAATAGTTGTTTGCTGATTTCAGATATTTGTAATAACCGTTTTTTTGTTAATTCAGATTGGATGATGGTCATGCTGCGATGGATATCGGATAAGTTCATTGGAACCTGAGTTTGACTGTCTTTCATTTAAGGGAAGAAAATGGGTCATTTATGAGTCTGTGCCGAGCCATTTCATTTCTACTGGGAATTTCAATTTTTATAACAATCTGTAAAGAAAGTGGGTTTATTGAGCTGAATTTTTGATTTCCAATATATCAATTTTTTATTATTCTAGTTCATGCTTTCCTTTTGGGCACCTAAGTGTCTAGGTTTTTAGAAAATTATATTCTAAATTTTATCTAAAACAATCTAATTTAATTATTATAAAATTCATCCACAATTTTTTCTTATTTATTTAACTCAAATTAACGTAATTTACTTCTTAGTGTTTGCTGCTTTAAATTTTTATATGGAAAATTAGGTTTTTCTTGTTATTTACTGTCATAATTTGTTTTTTGATTTGATTTAAGTATAATTAACTTATTTCTTATT